AAAGGCACCGTTACCTGCTACCCCACCTTGGAGCCATGTTATACAGCCTGTGGCATACACTTTAAAAATGAAATTTTACAAACGAATGTACTACGTTCTACTTCAGAAACGGACCAAGGTGTGGGTCACACAGAGAATTCCGCATGCACTTGATTAACGTTACATGTACATCTACCCATGTTTGAGGATGACACTATCTACGAACACACAAGATCTAATATCTAGCACCTTATCTCCAAGAACACTGGTATTATATATACAGTTACAGCTTACAATTCGGAGAACTACTACAGAGAGAAATACACCACCGAAACGGACAAAAATATCAAATTTTTAACATCAGAGTTGTAACACGGATGAAGCGGGGGTGGGGGGTGGGGGGTGGGGTGGTGGAATCCACTCAACTTTAAAGCACCGAACCGAAACCAGTCTCGTTTTTGGAACAAGGGAGATCCGGTAATGAACCCTCAGACACGGCGAGCCTCTGGCGAGTGTGGAAATGATGCGGTCTCCTCTTGGTGCGTGTGTGCTTTGAGATCGAAGAGCTTTGGGAGGTGACGGTGGGAACGTCTGACTCCCGTTGGCAACCTTTGTTTACCTCGAGGGTGCCTACTCTACTTACCAAAGAGCGGTGAACTTGCCGGTGACGCGGCAATCAGTGGTCAAGTTCTGCAGATTGTGGCTTTCCTACTTCTGCCTCCAGCCAGTCTTGTTGCTTTTAGCAGAAGACTGCTGCCAGCGGGCAGGGCACTGGCCGTAGAGGAAGAGAGCGTTTGGAACTAACTGGAAAGAATTTATGACAAGGGCTTCCATTCTTTCTACGTTTTCGGCGGCGGCCTGTCTCCTTATGCCTAAGCTGGGAGGGGCTTCGAGGTGGGTCAAGAGCACCTGTCCGGCCCGCAGAAAACCAGAGGGACAGAGATAAGGAGGGACAGGGTTAAAAGCCATGACTGACCAGCTTTTCTCTCCTTATCTTGGTAACTGGCTGGCAGCCAACTGTTCCTTTAATCTTTCGTCTGCTCTAGGAGGAAAAGACGTTTTGCTTTAGAGAAGCCTCTCCTGACCGCATGGGTTTTGTCTTAAAGAGCAATACAGCAAAAAAAAACATGAGGGGAAAACACTTCTTTTGATTTTTTTTGTCCTCAAAATGTGGGGGAAGGCTTCCTCCCAACCACCTCGGAGGCTTCGATTTGGGGGCTCTCCAACTATCAGGTGATACAGGATTCTTCTCTTCCAAATGGTGCATCTCAGACATTTTTAAGAGCATCTTGGCAAAGTCTAAGAGAGAACGCCTAGTTTAATCTCGTACGTTATTCTTTAAGGTGGTTCGAAAACGAAACCTTCTGAAGTAACTTCAGCTCGATTGGCTAATTACGTATCAAGTAAGGCATTAGGCACCTTGTAATTTTATCGGTAAGGGATTTTTTAGTGTTCTGTGGGTTTTTTTTTTTTTTCTGAAATAAGTGGACGGTGGTCCACAGGATTGAATGTGCCCCCGAAGATGGGTGGTAGTGGGTGCTTTTCTGGGTAAGAAACAAGGTGCCTACCTCCTAAATGATAAAATGGCCCTTTTCCTTACGTCGGATTTGAAGTTGATATCCCGTCATCTCTAAATTGTATTGGACGGAAACATGCCTTTAACTGCTGGCCACTTCTCTCCTTCCCTGCTTCCTCGGGCCCCCGGGGTCCCTTGGAGAATGTGCCAGCTCTGGGTGCCGGAGGAGGAGGGGACGCATGGGAGGGGGTGAGCCCACGGAGCGTCCTCAGGGGCCAGCGCAGGCAAGGGGGAGGGGGAGTGAGGCAGGTGGAGGCAGGGGTGTGATGGGCAAGAGGGAGGCAGGGAGCTGGCAGTGCAGAGGACTTCCCAGCAGCTGCCGTCGGCGGTGCCTTCGAGAAGATGGACCCTTGCATCATAGAAGCCCTGGGCTTGTTCCTTATTACCGCCTTCCCAAGCTTGTTGAAATTGGTACGTTAGCGAGAGCACCTGCGGCTCCTTGGCAAAACTGGATGCTTTATTATTTTTAAATAAGGAAATCATTAAGTTGGAAATCACATCATTTCAAAGTCTGGTTCGTCTGGCCCCTGTACTTTAATGGGATTTTTACTGCACATATGAAGTGGCCTTGGCAAAAGAATACATCCTTTAAAAACATTTAGGGAGAGCTATTGCACATGAGGATGTGTGAGGCTAATGATGGCTTTTTTGTGTGTGCTTCCAGAGTTTTAAATGACAAAAGAGTATGTGCAGTAAAACCTCATTAAGTTGATAGTGTTTTATTCGAAATGGCACAAAATTTGAAGCAGTTGCTATCTCGAGCTAACTAGAGGCCCCATTGTTCATTAAGCAGAAAATGTCAGCAAAGCAGGGTGCTCTCGATTCGAAGGTCCTCTTTTCCAGTCTATTTTCAAAAGGTTTTCACCTTTGAAAAATCCAATTTGCCGTAAGAACAGACAGTGACTAAAACAGGGAAGAGAGGAACTCTGAGAAGGAAGTTGGCGAGTCCTGGCGCCCTGGAGAACGTTGTGTGTGCTGTTAAATGAACTTACCACGCTCGTACAGGTTGTGGTTCCATTCTGATTATGATTTTGGCAAACAATTTTCTCTGATACACTTGGAAGGGGTTGAGCTTTAAAAATAAAACGAGAAGTTCAGTTTCAACATAATATTTGGGGACACTTACGTTTGAAAGCCTGTCTCCTACCCAGGTAAGCATTTCTACCCAAAGGACAGGCCGGAGCTGTTTGGAACTCTTGACCATGACAGACCTCCGAGGCGATACCCCTCCCCCCAACAGGGTCGCCCACACAGGCTATTTCCGCACCCAGATATCCTTTGAGGACGGGGCAGTGTGAGAATGTGGCAATGAACGGGTGTCATAAATTGACGACTCTTAATTCGCTTCATACATTTTGGTAGAAAAATGAACAATAGCACGAGGGTAAACAGCAGCCCGCGTGTCTTGTCTCAATTGCCACACACTCCAGGTTAATGGGGTTGGAATTAGTTAAGTTTATCGTGATCATAGTCATACTGAGTTGACGGGCCAGCTTAATACTGTTTGCATCAATCCCGGCTCCTTTCCTAAATCCTGAACATGGCAAGCCCAAATCTCCAGGCAGACTTATTCACAGCTCAAATAACGCTGCTGTTTACCTCTCCCCCTTGAGAAGCTCAGGTTGGGATCTGTGAGGAGGAAGAGATAAAGAAAATATCAGTGAGCCGGGCATTTACATGGCTGAAGTTTGAGTTCTAATACGGACACGGTAACCACACAAGAATGAGGCTAAACTCTGAATGTGGCTATCTTTATATACAACCGTCCGATGAACATTTTTCAACCAAATCCTCCCACCTGTGCCTCCACCCATATTAACATTGGATTTCTGCATGAACAGTTCACTGGCCACCAGTCGGCTTTAATTTGACCTTCAGGACAATCAAAAACACTCTCTTGACTGTTTTGGGGGCCCATGTTATTCGGTCATGTCGACGTGGTCTGGGCTCCCAGGAACACACAGGGATCTCCTGACCCGGAGTGATTTCAGGGTCGGAGATGTGAAAAGCCCTCCCTCTGCACTGACCCTGGGGATAATTTAGATATTGTAACGGTCTTCCCAACGCAATACATTCCAATAGCAATAATCGGGACATGTCTGACCCGAATGCTTTGAAACTAGGGTTGCTTGAAATAGGTCGGATGCTTGCTAGGTATTGAGAAACCATCCTCTCTGCTATTTCTGACTCTCTTGTATTTCTCTTCCACATCTGCGGGGAGCTTAAGGGCTTTAAGGGAGAGCCACAGGTAGAAAAAACCCATGGGTGTGCCTGGGGGAAGAAAAATGTTTATTCTGCCTCGCTTGCTCCCCACGTGGAGGTCACGTTTCTTGTCTATGATCCCCTTGACACAAAAGAGATTCCTAATGGGCACGTCACTCTCGATCGGGAGTGTGAGTTTGAGAAACTTTTGGCCACTCCTAGTTACATTTCTTTTTTTTTTTTTTTTTTTTCTGGAAAAATCTGTTTGACCGAAAAGGCCTCTGGGACTGGCAGAGGAGATGTTGCAGATTCTGATGGGCATCCCAATTCGACCACAAGAGGAACATTACAAAGTAGTGGCGTGATTCCTGTCCCACTGTGGCTCAAGTAGGAGACAGAACGAACACCGTTTTAGTGTCAACTGACAATTTTCCATGCGTAGGGAATGACCTTGGTCCCAGCCCATGCACAAACCCAGGGTTTTACAGAAAAAGAAAAAAGCCAACTGTTTAGCCTCATGGATGTGTGTTATTTCTCTAACTGTTCCCTAGGACCGGCTTCCCATTTCAAACATGCCCTAATATCCTCTTCCACTTCTCTGGGTCCCTTGAGAGGATCTGGGAACCTTCTTCGTATCTTCCACACACGACGCCCTTTGTCTTAGGTTCCAAAACAATCTTTGCACCGGCCTGTGGGTCTCTTCAGTTTACAACACTGATCAGTCAGTCAGGTTCTGCTTCTTGGGCTCCAGGAACGATTTGGTCCACTGCTTTTCTTTCAGTCGAAGCTAGGCTGTAGCTCTCACCCATAATCTCTTGACCCGAGGGCCTAAAAGTCCTCAGGTTCACAGGCGTCATCTTCCTCTTCCTCTTCCTTTGCCCTCAGAGCAAAAGCTGGGACGTTGTAGCTCTGGGGAGACAGATCCAGGACCAAAGTGGATAGCCCTTGTTGCCTTAAGAAATTTAGAGCCTAATAATTTGGGGGGGGGGCGAGAAATTTCAGTCAGAATCCTCAAGTCCGTGCTTTGAGGGGCACACTTTTAAGGGAAAGCTCCAGTTCCTACCTCTTCGGTATATTTATCTGTCTGTCTGTCTGTCTATCTCGTGGTGAGAAGGACGTGTGCAACACCTTGGCCTGAAATGGTACGGGTTGGCGTGAGTGGGGCTGTGGGGGGTCCGTGTGAAACAAAGCCGCTCCCGTTTTCCGCGCTGTGGACAGTTCAAGGTTTGCCTTCCGGCTAGCTTCAAGGCAAAGTGGCGGAGTCGTGCGAAGGGACGGTCTTGCCTTCGGTCCCTCCCTCTGTGCCAGCTTCTGTTCCCGGCAGGTCCGGGTGGCTGTCTTCTTTCGGGGGCTTTTCCTTGCAGAAGAACTTCTTCAGCATATCCTGGATTTCCTTCTTGATGGTCTTGTGCATGTAGCCGTAGATGTAGGGGTGCATGCAGCACTGCAGGAAGAAAAGCCAGATTATTATGGTGATCACCCACTGGGGCACCTTGGTTTGGACATCCACCCACACGGCCAGAACCGCCAGAAAGCAGTAGGGCCCCAGGGAGAGCACGTAGGAGAAGACGATGAGGAAGATCACTTTCGCAGCCTTGCACTGGTAGCACCTGGGCAGAGGGGGGTCGCCGGTGCTGTTTCGACGACTGGGCGGGAGGCTCTCGGGGATGTTCACTGCCTCGACGTCCTCCTCGCTGAAGTTGAGGTCATCCACGCCGAACTCCGCGTCATCTTCACCCAGGTCGATGTTGCACTGGCTGACCTCCACGCGGCCCTTGTCCGCCTTCACGCTGCCGGCGGGTTGGGGGCCGCCGTCCCGGACCTCCTCGCTGCCCACGGCCGCCACCCTACCCGCACTGGCCTCCGCGCTCTCTTCCTCGGCCTGCACGCCGCCCTCCTCGGCCTCGGCCTCACCTCCGTCCTGGCACCGGGACGCAGCCCTCCTCTCTCCCTCTTCGTCCTCGTTCTCCACACGATCCTTGGCCCGAACCTCCAAGCTGTGGCTCCTGACGTTGTACAGCAGGGCATGCTGCCGCCGGGCGGCACCCAACACCACGGAGTAGCAGGCAATCATGACGACCAGCGGCAGGATGATGAAGGACACCACGCTGAGAATGGTGTAGCTGGGGCTGGCCCCCCAGATCATGGAGCAGAGGGCGTTGCGCTGGTCAAAGGCAGCCTGGCCCCAGCCGTAGAGAGGGGGGGTGCTCTGCAGGATGGCCACGATCCAGGTGCCGTAGAGGAGCATGTAGCCCCGGCGGGGGGTCATCTTAGCGGGGTAGGAGAGAGGGTGGATGATGGACAGGTAGCGGTCCACGGACACCACCACGATGGTGTTGACACTGGCGAAGGCGAACAGGTGAGTGAGGCTCACCAGCGCGGTGCAGAAGTGGCTGTTGAGGGGCCAGAAGAGAGGCACGGAGGTGGCCACCACCCAGGGGGCCACGAGCGAAATCTGCAGCAGGTCAGTGACCAGGAGGTTGAAGATGAAGCGGTTGGCGACCTGCAGCAGCTGCGGCTTGCGCTGCAACACGAGCGCCAGCACGATGTTGCCGACGAAAGAGGCGGTGAGGAACACGAGCAGCACGCTCGAGCGGATGATGCCGTGGGCCAGGCTGATGGGCATTTTGGACAGGGGCACGCACGTGTGGCTGCTGTTGCTTTCGCGCGTGCTGTTGGTGCAGGTGGACGTCATAGCGACAGAGGGCGGGCGGCGGAGGCGCGCCGGGACCGCACTCAGTGCCTGTGCCGGGGACCAAAGAAAACACGCGGGCCGGGTTAGTCACCCCGCCGAGCGGGGCCCGCTTCGGGGACCCCCGCGCCGCGCCAGTCCGCGCGTGACCGCGGCTCGTCTGAACCTCCTCTGCCCCTCCGGGCCCCTCCGCCCCTCCCTCTCGGGGTCTCGGCGCCACCCCCCACCCCCACCGGCCCCTCGGCGGGCGCGCGCGCGCTGCGTCTCTCTCCCACCGTCTCTGCATCTCTCCAGCGATCTCTCCCGCCGGCGCATGCGCGCGCGCTGTCTCTGCCTGTTTACGTGTCGCTGTCTCTCTCACCCCAGTGTCCCGCACTAGCGCACTCGTCACGTGTCTCTCGGGGGGGTGTGTGTGTGCCGCGTCTCACCGGTTTTCTCCGACTCTCTCGCCCGCCCGTGTCCCGCACGCTGTCTCTCCTTCCCGGTCTCTCGCTAGCACGTGCGCGCTGTCGGTCTCCGTCAGTCTGTCGTGCTCTCTCTTGCCTTTCTGTCTCTCCGTCACTCCCGTCTCTCCCTCCAAGTCTCGGTCAATGTCTCTGACTCAGTCTCCCTCCCCATCGCCCCCCCCCCATCCTCTTTCGGCAGCGCACTCTCTCTGTAGCTGTGTGTGCACGTCTCTCTGTCTCTCTCTGCCTTTCTCCCGGCCTTGTCCCCGTCTCTCCCTCCGTCTCTTTCTGCTGCGCTCCCGTCTCTCCCTGTGTCCCTGTCACTGTCTATGTCTCTCGCTAGTGCGTGCGCTCCTCCGTCTTTTCCCAGTGCGGTCTCGTCTCTCCCCGTCTCTCTCAGCCTATCTCCTCGACGATCTCTGTGAGTCCCCGGTGCACCTGTTCACTGTCCCTCGCTGCGTGCGTGTCCCTGTCGGTCTCCGCGTCTCCCCAAGCCTCCCGCTTCCGCGTCTCCGTCCATCTCTTCTCTATCTCTGTCTCCCCCGTGTCTCCCTGCGGTTTCTGTCTCTCCGCGCGCGAAGTTCCGTCTCTGTCGCCGCCCGCCTGGTCTGTCGCCGTTGGCTCTAACGATCTACGGCTGTCTCTCCTAGTTGTCCCTGTCTCTCGTTGCTCAGGCTGTCTCGCCAGCGCGTGCGCTTGGAGAATCGGGATCTCTGTCTCTCCCTCTGTCCCCGGGACTCTCGCGGAGCACTTTCTTCGTATGTTTCAGCGCGTGTGCGTCTCTGTGGCTCTCCATTTGTCTCCGACGAGCCCTCACCTCGGTTTTTCTCTGTCCCCGATCTCTATCTCTCGCTTGACTATTTTGCCATGGAAACCAGCTGCCGCCCTGGCTACCGCGGGCTCAGGCGGATAAATCTCCTAGTTTCTCAGCGGCACCGCCGCGGCTGGATGCGGGGAGGATGCCTCCCGCGACCCCCTCCCTGTTCGGCCCCCTCCCCGAATCCTCCGGTCCTCCCGCGGTCTCTCTCGGCGGCGGCGGCGGCGGGGGGCGGGGGGCGGGGGGCGGGTGAGGAGGGGGAGCTCGAGGAAAGCAGGAGAGGAGGCAGGGGTGCCGGGCTGACGGGAGAGTCTGAGAGAGGCAGAGCGGGAGACGCTGGGAGGCAGAGAGAGAGAGAGAGAATGAAAGGAAAAAAAAACAAAAAACGAGACCCGCAGAGACAGAAAGAGGATGGGAGACAGAGACAGGATGAGAGCCCACCCAGGGACGCAGAGAAAATGACCGAGAGGAAGAGGAATGGAGACGACGAAATGAGAGAGGCAGCAAGCGAAGGAGAGGCGCGGAGAGACAGAGACAGGAAAATCGAGGAAGGGCAGGCTAAGAAAGGGAGGGTGGGGAGCAAGGGGGGAGCGGGAGGCCGCGTGCGAGAAGTGCGAGGCCAAAGGCGAGGGCCGCGGGGCGCACGGGGGGCGCGTGGCGGGGCTGCCGTCGGGGCCGCGGCG